GCCAGGGGGTGGAGCTGACAGTCAGCAGAAACAGAACAAAATGTTTTTATTGTACAATGCGGCAACAGATCAGAATGCACGGAGCACTTGGTCCCCTCGGGGAGGGGGAGGGGATTCAACAGAGATTTCTATGTTGGGGTGATACTATGTACACTATGGTACTCTTTGCTCTCCGCCGTGTGGACTAAGTAGCTGGACAAGCCATCGCTGACTGTCGTTTGTGCTGTAACGGTGACACCAAGCACTGTCTCGGCATGACTTCCTCTGGAGCCAATACACATGAATTGCACCGTGTCCTAAATTGGCGGTAAGGCCTTGAGCGATCAGCACCAGAAATCTCGGTTCTATGGGACGTATGTCGGGTTTTAGCGGCCCGGCTTTTGCCCCATGCGTCCCTTCTCTGGCTTTTCAGAGAACGTTTGCTCTTTTCAGGGGCAATTTACTTGCTGCCCCGCAAACATGACCCAGAGCTGTGCTTTGTGTCCAGAAGGAAGCTTTGTGTCGTGTCCAGCTGTAATAAACACCTCGGTTGGGAGTAGAAAGTTGCGGCTGAAATGTACAGAAGACATATAAAGGATTAATTGACCGTGTGCACAATGCCCGGTGTGCAGAAGGTTTTTAACTCCTTGACGCAAGGCAAACAACTGGGCTGCCTCTACCAAATGGGGGAGGGGGAGGGAGGACTCGGCCACCAGCAGGGGCCATCCCGGGCTGTGCTTTCTGCATCCTACTCCTGAAGGTGACACTATAACCCGACGGTCAAGATCTCCGCTGTGTCCTTCAAAGAATGAAAGAGGAACAAAAAAAGGATTTGATAAATATTTGCACCAAAGCTTTGCAAAAGCCCAAAGAGTGGCGTCACCTAAGGCTTGCTATGCACCGTGTGGGGTGGGGGGTATTACCTGAGTGGCAGCTGAGGTGTTGTGTATGTTGCTGCCATAGGAAGGAGGTATTTGTTTCCAGCAAAGGGGCTACCAAGCCAACTTCCTACTGAATTCCGCGTCCTGTGCAGTCCGTAATTGCTTCCTGCTGGCTCCGGGGCTGATGGGGCCCTTGGAAAGTCATCCTTCTCTATTGTTTTGCTGCCCTCAGTGTCCATGTAAAGAAGTCTGCTGGCAGCTACATGCCACCCTTCCCAGTACCCTCCCCTCACTCCCACCACCACTCCATTTGGCCACCTGGAGTGAAAAGAATTGTTTGATTGTAAGGAAGCATGTGACTTCTTCCTCCGTGACAGCACCGGTGACTGGCCACTCAGACGTGGTCATATGGGGGCATTTGTTTTTTTTACCCCCAGCAGCCAAACAGAGCAGTGGGGCAGCGAAAGGAAGGTATGGGCAGATAGGGGGAGGAGGCAGTTAGGCACAAAGCCATGAGGGACTGATCCCCCCAGCCCTCATTCTCATCTTATCTGATGCTCTTGGGGGCATCTACAAACATGACAGGTCCTCTTTAAAGAGGGACCAAAAACGCCGCCAATGATGAGATATGCAGAACTGCCACCTGTGTGCGTCCATGGATTTTGTGGATAAAGGACCGTTGTCTGACGGCTTATGACATTACTCTGAAAGACCTAACCGACCGACCGCGATGGGCTCTGCGCCTCGCCACGGCTCAGTCTTTATGAAGTCAATGGCCATCACAGCTGTTGTAGCCGGTAAGGGGCGGCTTACTCTTTTTTTGGCTTCTAAAGTCTCATCGCAAGTGTGAAAGTCTCTCCGATTGGCCCAGCTGCCGCGACCCGCTTATCGTCTACGTTTCTCGAGCAACATGGATGCGAGCCCTTAAACTCCCGGGGTTCAGGAGAGGGACGGAATATGTCCTGCATAGCTGTACAGTGTTCTACAGCCAACACCCTCCCCCCCCCACCAGCACCGGTTAAACGCCAAGAGCAAGGCAAGCAGCGTAGTCAGCGACTATCTGCAGTGAGGTCATCGTGTGAAGGCGGAGTGTCCAGCACGCCATTTTTTTTTTTTGTGTGTGTGTTTGGTTACAGCAGCATAGGCAGTGAACTCTCTTCCCCTCCCACCGGGGGGCGCCGTGAGGCCCGTTCTGTCTACAACTAGAAACATTTTCAGTGTTTTGGCGTTACCGCCGCTTACAAGTAGTGCAGCCATATTTCTTACACGTTGTCAAATAAAACTGTAATCGGCAGGGCGACCCGCACCCCTCTCCAAAAGTCTATAAAGTGTCTTTTGTTCCGCCGTCCGTTGAGGCAGCAGGGTGGCGTCAGAGCGCGGACTCCAGCGACGAGTCCAGGATGTCGTCGTGGTGACTGTTGCTGTTGGAGTCGCTGTCGTAGCTCTGCGGGCTGGAGTAGTTGGCGGCTTCCTGAAGCCTCATCAACATGTTCATCTGGAAGAAAGAGACGAGAATGAGCAACTCCATAACTGAACTTCACAGCGGAGACTGGTCTGGGTGAGATGGTGTGTCCCGCAGCAAAGGGCGGTGTACAGTTCCTGATGGGGGGCAATTACTTTAAATCGGAAGTTAGTTGTGCACTGGAAAATATCGCACCCCACTCTAAAACTGCCTGACGTACCCCTTGAGATAGCGCTGCATTCTGGCACAGAAGCCCCTCATTTTAGTTGCCACCTTCCAACCTCTGAACTTCCAACTTCAGAAGCCCCCAGTTAGTCACCACCTTCCATCTCCTGCCCAAGGAGCACCAAATCTTAGCCTCCAAATTCTGTCTCAGGAGCCCCTGATTTTATCTGCACCTTCTAGTTTCTGCCCCCAGAGCCACCAATCGTAGTCTCTAAATTCTGCCCCAGAGCCACCAATCTTAGTCTCCACCTTTTGCCTCCAGGAGCCACCAATCCTGGACTCAATCTTCTAGCTTTTGCTCCACAAGTTCCAAAACTTAGTCTCCACGTTCTGCCCCAGGAGTTCCCAATCTTGGGCTCCACCTTCCAGCTTCTGCCCCAGGAGATCTCCACCTGCCTGCTTCTGCCTCAGGAGCCCCTTATTTTAGTCTGCAAATTCTAGTTTCTGCCCCAGGAGCCCTAAATCTTAATTTACAGCTTTTGACCCCAATCTTGGACTCCATCTTCTAGTTTCTGCCCCAGGAGCCCCCAACAGTATTCTCTCAATTCTGTCTCAGGAGCCCCCAATCTTAGTCTTCACCTTCCAGCTTCTGCCCTTACGAGATCCCAATGTTAGACACCACCTTCCAGCTTTTGCCCCAGGAGCCCCCAATCTCATTCATCACCTTTAAGCTGTTCCACCTGTAATGGGACACGTGGGTGTGTCTAAACACCGTCTTTCGGAATAGTCAGCATTTGAACTAAGTTGAGGTGCAGCTTCTAGGGGGCAGTGCTAAGTGATATTAAGGATCGAGACGTGTGCGGGACCCTGGTGTTCGGATTTTAGTCATTCAGCTTTCAGGGACCCATGCCTTGGCCAGGGCAACTAAAAAGGTCACTTAACTCCCTCCCTCCCGAGCAGCATGGACTCCCCTTTCCTTGATTCCCTGCCGTTTGGTTTTGTGGCCAGGTCCAAATCCATGTGTAAGCTCCAAACTGACTGGTCAAAGCTTACACAGTGCCAAGTGCTGCTTCCCCATCCCCATGTGACAGTGCTGGGCCATTCATGAGGTACATAGCCATGCATTGGAGTAAGTCGAATGCTTACTCATATCTTAAAGTTTAATTTCATTTTGCTCTCAGTGGCCTAATGGAGCTGTGCAGGAGTGAGGAAACTTGAGTATGTACTGCTGGGGAGTACAGTGACCCCTTTCCTTTGCCCTTAAAGGAGAACTATGAGGTGACGTGTGACAATGAAACTGTCACACGTCGGCTCAATAGATCGGGAAGTGAGCGAACACATACAGCTGTCAATCACGCAGCTGGGTGGATCTCAACAGTAATGCTGTAGCTCGCGTCACACTGAGCTTTGGGTCGCGGGAGGAGGTTAGTCTATGTCCTCCTGGCTCCAGTGACCCTAAGGAGAACTATGGGGAAAAACACTGACCTCATAGTTCTCCTTTAATGGGTCACCAGGCAAGGCAGAGGTGCTAGCTACAAAGCTGCTATGCAATTGGTAACATCCTTCTGAATTTAGAGGTGGCCTGGCTGTCTCTGACACGTAGGCCATTGGCCCAGAATAACCAATTCTCTATATTCAGCTCTGAGACACAGAATCGATCATCCGTAACATGTTTCCTTACCAGTGGATCTCCTTCACCGTCTCCAGACGGAGCCTGCTTGCTAGAGGTCCCCTCCCGTGGCACAGAGTATCCATCAAATCCAACATCTTCTGGTCGTAGCTGCAGTAACGGTGGCCATTCGTGTTGCTGGGGAACAACGGTCCATGGGTACGTGTCCATGACCCACTTGGCGGGATCTTCCCAGGGCGCCCTCCTGCCATACAGCTAGATGAAAAGAGGACCAGTAATCAAACTAAAGTCCTGGACAGACGTGGCCTACACCTGGCTGCCATCTGACAAGCAGAACAATAGGCTTAATACAATTTCTTACCTGCAGCCCCTCCCTGACGGCCTCCAGCAGGTATGGAATGATCGAGTAGTTCCAGAGATCTGTAAACCAGACCCTGGAGCCGTCCACATCCATAGGGCAGGAGAGGAACAAGCGAGGACCTGCAAGAACAGAAGAGAGAAAGCTAAACTTCGCAGCTATAAAAAAAAAACACCCCTAAGCACTCCCCTGTTTATTCTTCAAAAGACATGAAATTCTTCTTTTTACGGAGTTGCAGCACCCAAGATGGTTGTTGAAATCAGGCTTTAAGTGGGAGTGGCTGCTCTATAAGCTGATGGGCATGAAGAGAAGGTTCTTGTACAGGCCTACAGGTGGGAGAGAACTGATTGAGGGTGTCACTGGAGGGATGTTTAGTACATTTGTTTTAACTGTGGTCACGTGACCACTAGGTTCCCCACACGTGGAATGGGGGCAGGGACTCAAAAATGTGCTCAGCGGCTTCCACCGACGTCAAGGCGCTTCTTCTCTCCTTGGAGGCCTGGAAGCATCCTAGTGCTGTAGATGAACACATAGGGATTACTGAATCTCCCTGCCTACACTGTTCTGAATAGCTAGGGGCAGGCTGGGGGGTATAGCTGCCTGCTAGGGTGCACAGGATGCTGTATTTGGTACAATCATGACTGCCATAGGGAAGCACCGATACACTGACCACACCAGCCTCAGACTGGCACCACATACAGCAGCTTCATAGTGTTCCTAGAGCCACCCTTCCCCCACACTCTGCCTTCTGCCCTCCACACTCACCGATGGTGACATCTGAGGAGCTGTGAGCCTCCAAGAAGCGGTTGAGATGCTGCCACACCTTGGGGATCCAATCAATGATCTTCACCAGCTCCACATTCCGTACCCGGTTGGTCATTTCTGTTTCGATCAGCTTCCGCCGGAGGTAGCGCCCCAGGAAACCCTTCACTGGCTCTGTGTGGTTGGCGCAGAGCACCCATCTAGTCAGGTAAAAAGTAGAATAATGTCGGAAGAGATTCATCGTGAGGATGACCACATTTTATAACTGCAACATGGAGGAGAAGCTCTGAAATCCTAACGGGGTGACTATATGGCCTGTCTACCCGGAACTGATATCCAGGTTTTTGGCAGATGTCAATAACTATGTATTTGGTTCAATACTAAACAGCGTGGGAGGAGCATAGAGACACCTCAGGGGCTGGCTTATGTAAAGGGAAATTATAGCTATTGGGGACGGGAGAAGCAGCCAGATGCTCCCCACCATGCTTATCTTGGCGGGAGGACAAGTTATAAACATTTACATTGAGAATATGTGTTTATCTCAATCAATGGTGACTGGGGTTCTAATCCTTACCTGCTCTATCTCAATCAATGGGGACTGGGGTTCTAGTCCTTCCCTTCTCTATCTCAATCAATGGTCACTGGGGTTCTAATCCTTACCTGCTCTATCTCAATCAATGGGGACTGGGGTTCTAGTCCTTCCCTTCTCTATCTCAATCAATGGTCACTGGGGTTCTAATCCTTACCTGCTCTATCTCAATCAATGGGGACTGGGGTTCTAGTCCTTCCCTTCTCTATCTCAATCAATGGTCACTGGGGTTCTAATCCTTACCTGCTCTATCTCAATCAATGGGGACTGGGGTTCTAGTCCTTCCCTTCTCTATCTCAATCAATGGTCACTGGGGTTCTAATCCTTACCTGCTCTATCTCAATCAATGGGGACTGGGGTTCTAGTCCTTCCCTTCTCTATCTCAATCAATGGTCACTGGGGTTCTAATCCTTACCTGCTCTATCTCAATCAATGGGGACTGGGGTTCTAGTCCTTCCCTTCTCTATCTCAATCAATGGTCACTGGGGTTCTAATCCTTACCTGCTCTATCTCAATCAATGGGGACTGGGGTTCTAGTCCTTCCCTTCTCTATCTCAATCAATGGTCACTGGGGTTCTAATCCTTACCTGCTCTATCTCAATCAATGGGGACTGGGGTTCTAGTCCTTCCCTTCTCTATCTCAATCAATGGTCACTGGGGTTCTAATCCTTACCTGCTCTATCTCAATCAATGGGGACTGGGGTTCTAGTCCTTCCCTTCTCTATCTCAATCAATGGTCACTGGGGTTCTAATCCTTACCTGCTCTATCTCAATCAATGGGGACTGGGGTTCTAGTCCTTCCCTTCTCTATCTCAATCAATGGTCACTGGGGTTCTAATCCTTACCTGCTCTATCTCAATCAATGGGGACTGGGGTTCTAGTCCTTCCCTTCTCTATCTCAATCAATGGTCACTGGGGTTCTAATCCTTACCTGCTCTATCTCAATCAATGGGGACTGGGGTTCTAGTCCTTCCCTTCTCTATCTCAATCAATGGTCACTGGGGTTCTAATCCTTACCTGCTCTATCTCAATCAATGGGGACTGGGGTTCTAGTCCTTCCCTTCTCTATCTCAATCAATGGTCACTGGGGTTCTAATCCTTACCTGCTCTATCTCAATCAATGGGGACTGGGGTTCTAGTCCTTCCCTTCTCTATCTCAATCAATGGTCACTGGGGTTCTAATCCTTACCTGCTCTATCTCAATCAATGGGGACTGGGGTTCTAGTCCTTCCCTTCTCTATCTCAATCAATGGTCACTGGGGTTCTAATCCTTACCTGCTCTATCTCAATCAATGGGGACTGGGGTTCTAGTCCTTCCCTTCTCTATCTCAATCAATGGTCACTGGGGTTCTAATCCTTACCTGCTCTATCTCAATCAATGGGGACTGGGGTTCTAGTCCTTCCCTTCTCTATCTCAATCAATGGTCACTGGGGTTCTAATCCTTACCTGCTCTATCTCAATCAATGGGGACTGGGGTTCTAGTCCTTCCCTTCTCTATCTCAATCAATGGTCACTGGGGTTCTAATCCTTACCTGCTCTATCTCAATCAATGGGGACTGGGGTTCTAGTCCTTCCCTTCTCTATCTCAATCAATGGTCACTGGGGTTCTAATCCTTACCTGCTCTATCTCAATCAATGGGGACTGGGGTTCTAGTCCTTCCCTTCTCTATCTCAATCAATGGTCACTGGGGTTCTAATCCTTACCTGCTCTATCTCAATCAATGGGGACTGGGGTTCTAGTCCTTCCCTTCTCTATCTCAATCAATGGTCACTGGGGTTCTAATCCTTACCTGCTCTATCTCAATCAATGGGGACTGGGGTTCTAGTCCTTCCCTTCTCTATCTCAATCAATGGTCACTGGGGTTCTAATCCTTACCTGCTCTATCTCAATCAATGGGGACTGGGGTTCTAGTCCTTCCCTTCTCTATCTCAATCAATGGTCACTGGGGTTCTAATCCTTACCTGCTCTATCTCAATCAATGGGGACTGGGGTTCTAGTCCTTCCCTTCTCTATCTCAATCAATGGTCACTGGGGTTCTAATCCTTACCTGCTCTATCTCAATCAATGGGGACTGGGGTTCTAGTCCTTCCCTTCTCTATCTCAATCAATGGTCACTGGGGTTCTAATCCTTACCTGCTCTATCTCAATCAATGGGGACTGGGGTTCTAGTCCTTCCCTTCTCTATCTCAATCAATGGTCACTGGGGTTCTAATCCTTACCTGCTCTATCTCAATCAATGGGGACTGGGGTTCTAGTCCTTCCCTTCTCTATCTCAATCAATGGTCACTGGGGTTCTAATCCTTACCTGCTCTATCTCAATCAATGGGGACTGGGGTTCTAGTCCTTCCCTTCTCTATCTCAATCAATGGTCACTGGGGTTCTAATCCTTACCTGCTCTATCTCAATCAATGGGGACTGGGGTTCTAGTCCTTCCCTTCTCTATCTCAATCAATGGTCACTGGGGTTCTAATCCTTACCTGCTCTATCTCAATCAATGGGGACTGGGGTTCTAGTCCTTCCCTTCTCTATCTCAATCAATGGTCACTGGGGTTCTAATCCTTACCTGCTCTATCTCAATCAATGGGGACTGGGGTTCTAGTCCTTCCCTTCTCTATCTCAATCAATGGTGACTGGGGTTATACCTACTCCATGCAAATCTTAACACTTTTGGCTTTAGAAACACTTTAATACGTTCATCTTATGCTAGCCACATAAAAGAGACTCTAGTCAGACGTACCTGAAGTTGTGGTGGAGTTGCAGGTTGGGCGTGGAGGATGTCGCCTGGTTCATGGTGCCGATGATGTACGGGCTAAGATGAAAAATGGAATGAAAAATATATATATTTGTCCTTGGTCCTCACTGCTAAACAACAATGTGGGTCTGCCTGGCATTGTACACATGACCGGTATGTGGAATTTAGCGGTATACATATAGTCTTATTATACAGGATTTATACAGCGCCAACAGTTAGCTCAGCGCTTTACAATATAAGGAAGACATTACAATCACAATACAATTCAAGACAAGATGGTAAGGAGGGCCCCGCCCCTGAGGGCTTACAATCGAAGATATATATATATATATATTATACAGTATATACTATCTGTGCCGCTGTAACAAAGCTCCTACGATTGGCTGGAATAATACACCATAACGTTCAGCAGGAGAATATTTACCACTTGTGGTATTTGCAGTTCAGAAGGCCATTGAAGATATCCCCCAGAGAGCTGACATGGTGCAGATTATCCAGGATGACGACCAGAGGCATGTCCACCGCATTGTTCTTGCTGTTGCATTGGTCGGCCAGGTTGGAGAGATACTGACGCAGTTCCTGCAAGACAAAACAGGGAATGTTGCTGCAAACTCACAGAGATCACTTGTATTACGTTCTATTGAACATGTTGATGTAACTGATCTATCGGGGTTAAATAACAAGGGAGAGTGATGATGGTAAGCCTTCATGAGTTTGCTGCTGATCACTAAATAAGGACCAACATGTCTGGTGAGGTCTGGAGGGATTCAAAACAAGAGGTTCATTAAAGTTCATCTCCGTCCTTCCCTTCAGTCTTCTATCTGACCTCCGTCCTTCCCTTCAGCCTTCTATCTGACCTCCGTCCTTCCCTTCAGCCTTCTATCTGACCTCCGTCCTTCCCTTCAGTCTTCTATCTGACCTCCGTAAGGGAAGGCCGCAGTTAAGCCTGCACCCTTGTATGTTAGGTTTGCAGCTCCCGTAAGGACAGCGATGACGGTGAGAAATCTTTACCTTGCTGGACTTGTGATCCACATTAAAAGTAGCAATGACGCCGTCGCTTAGTTCTCGCCCCTCGCGCAGCACCATGTACTCCGAAAGCCGGTTAGCTAGGTAGGTTTTACCCGTCCCGCTGGGACCGGACAGGATAATCCTCCGATGTTCTGTTAGCAGTGAGACGTATCGCTGTAGTATGGGGCGAGGAATCAGCGTTTCAAACACCAGAGCGTCCAAACTGTTCTCCGCAAGACCTAAAACAGAACAGAACCGCTCAGCAACATTGTCCTCTAGCAGCAGAGCGTCGTATCAGCTTAGCGGCAACGCTTCCGTGAGCTTCTCAGACAGTTCGGCCTCTTTTGGGGATTTATTCGAGTATTGGTTCATGAGTTTATTGATGAATTTTGGCATATTTAGTATTTGATTATTGAATTCATTTATTTATATTCTATGATATTTATATTTTTATTATTCCATACAATGTTTTCTCATGATAGCATTCTCTCTCCTCTCTCTCTCGTATAATACAGCAGATATAATCTTTTCCTGGTATAATAGATTATTTTACATACTGGGGTACTAAATATATATAATACTCTATAATTCTATAGGTTGTGGGGTTTGTATCTTATGCTATCTTGTATCTTAGTCCTGATGAAGGGGAAGTTTTGAGCTCCCGAAATTTGTCTAACAATTTATTATGAAAAATAAACTTTTATTGGACTTAAAGGAGAACTATGGGGTAAGTGTTTTCCCCCATAGTTCTCCTAAGGGTCACGGGAGGACACAAACTAGCGTCCTCCCGTCACCCAAAGCTCAGTATATAGGGAGCTACAGCTCACAGTATACTGAGACGCCGCAGACGGAGCGGATCCCGACATTACTGTCGAGATCCACCCAGCTGCGTGAGTGACAGCTGCCTCTGCCTATCTAGAGGCAGAGCCAGCTGTACCCACCCCTCCTCCATCCGTTAAGCCAGTCAGTGCCACGGCTCTCTTCAGGGACAGGATTGAGAAGTGAGCGATCGAGAAGTGAGCGAGCGACTGCTATGGCCTTTGTGAAGGCCATGGCAGTTGGCAGAACTGGGAATTATGTGT